TTCGCATGATTGAACGCTCCTATTTCTCGAAAGAATGTTCTGCAAGTTATAATTACAGCAGCATGTTAAGGGCTACAGTGCCGAACCATGGGACCTCACAGGCCATCTTCGTTGCTTAGTAATAGCAACCGGATTGATCAGCCCGCTCGCGAGCTCAAATAAATTGCAATCTACTATGACCCTCAATCCAATCTCTTTGCGGTCAGCAGCAAGTGTAGCATGTCAACGCAGCACGGCCATACTCAGCCACTTCCTTCGAAGCAGTTCTCCCATTCTCCCAAAAGGGCCCACAAGAGGCATTGACATTGGCACGGATATAAAGTAGCCTCGGGGTTATTCTGATGAAAGAGAGCCCTAGACTGCGGCAAACTGTAATGATGTGACCCGCTGTGCAGCACACAGGTGGTGATATCGAGCATATATTGATGCAAGTAGTCATCAACTCTCTCGTTGTAGGGGTTTCAGGTTATCGCTATCTTCTTGATAGGATCGTCAATGACCTACTTCTCCACTTTCTTAAGAGAAAACCGCGTACTCTCCAACACGGAACTAGGACAACGTTCTGACACGGCTTTCACGTATTCGTCTACTTCGCAAGTGGCAAAGCTCGGGGAAAAGTATTGCAAATGTTCAGTATCACCAAATGATGTCGCTTTGACCTCTACCTAAGTTTAGAAGCGGTCAAGTGAACTTGGGCCCAGGTACGCCATCACAACGATTTAGGTCATGGATCCGTCACGTGATGGCACTGAGCCGTGACTTTGAGGCAGCTAAAATGGAAAGTAAGATGATGGAAAGCCCTAGCAGAAGAATTATGCTATGTACAGCATTGTAGAGGTGCCTATATACCAGGTACCCGATTGAACGACGGAATTCATAACGTTCTGCATAAGATGAATGATGAGTTGCGAAACTCCTGAGGTCATAACGCCATGTGTAAGTCACGGGAGACCCGAACAAATCATTGTTGAAAAAAAAAACGCCTGCCAGTTCAATGCATTTTGGGTATCGACAGAATGAGAAAAGAAGATGGCCATAACACCGGAATGCAAATGAGTGCCCGAAAAATCAATGCCCAGGGTAAATCACAGATAAAGGTGGTACATGGCTGTCGGGCTGCTTACAGGTTTATTACAACCTGCAACCTGGCACCTTGAGAACGGCTTAGTCTTTGAAGTTCTCTTTTTGGACCTGGAGATGGACCGATTCCCAGCACACTCGCCACAATAGACCTGATTGAAAACGTTAGTTTAGGTGATGGTTTTCATCAACTCAAGATGAAAAATACTCACATGGCCACACGGCTTTGCAATGTGAATCTGTTGTTTCAGCCCTTCTCCGGTTCCCAACTCGTCCTGGCAGTTCGGGCAGAGAGGCACGTCATCTTCTGCCAAGAGGCGAGTAAATCCTTCGGGCGCTGGGCTTAGTCCTTTATATGATGATCGGCGAGACTGGGGTGCCGGCTGACTAGGTGGATTATAGTCAAGGGCGGGTACTCCATAACGAAGAGTGTCAGACACGAGCGAAAGTAGGTCCTCCTCCGAACGAAAGTACGACCTTGCGGGCATTCCTCTTCTAGCTCGCCCAAGTTCCAATACTCTCGAAGGCTGTATGAGAGGACGAAAGTGCATTGGAATACCATTGTTGTCGAGATATCTGGGTTCTATTGGTCTCGGTCTGACGGAAGAAGAGCCGACAATCTGAACATCTCCATTGTTCGGCGAAAAATCTACTGATCCACCCATTGTCTCCGCTTCCAGATCAATCACTGTCGGGCGATCAGTCGCAGGGGTCGTGTGGTTCATCAAATCTCGTGGAAATCGTAATCTCGGACGGTGCGGGTGTGGGGTGTGTAGAGGACCGGGAAATGATGTCACATTTCGTGAAGGAGGAGAGTCTGGGTCATTTGTCAAGTCGATAACGACATTGTTTCCAGGGGATAGTATCGCTGGCCGTCGGTAATCGAACCCATCTCGATGTCTTCTGGGTGGCAAGCGGGTAGATTCAGATCGAGCGTGGTCGGAGCGACGGGGGTGAAAATGCTGCTCCCAAGCGGCATCGCCACTTCCATCGTTTTCACTGGCCATTTGGCGATGTGTTCGCTGAGAGAAATAGGAATCTCGTTAGCTGGGTTCCAAGGTTCTTGGTGATCTGATCAGGTGCCCCGCCCGTTTCACGATGGATGAAGGCTTACCTTGGTCCTGGCGCCCATAAACTGGACGCCAGAGTTTTCACTCATTTCAGGGCCTGTTCCTGAAGTCAAAGAATGGGGGTTCACAGACAAAGGAGAAATTGGAGGCCACCAGGGAGGTAAAATGGCAAGATTAGAGCCCATCTTTGTTTCTAGGCCGAGTCGCAAGGCGGTCGAGTTCTGCCAGGGCTATAATGCGGTGTAGGCTCATTAGTAAGGTTTGCCTGACGGGTGGTGTTGAGCGCATTCCAAAGTTGACAAGACGAAGTGGCTCTGGCAGCAGATATTTAACTCGTTTCTGTAGAGATTTGTGGTTATCCATAAGGAGTGTTCCACAAGTTTTATAGTTTTATAGCAATATGTGAGTGAGAAAAAGAATTCACGATGTGGCTTTTCATTCATGACTTAAGTATACCTGTGACCTTGGAATATCCATGGATCCACTGTCTGTGAATTGTGTCGCATTAAGAGCTGCAGTTTCAAAACAAACACCATAGAAAATCCAGAAGATAGCATGCTCTAGTATTACAGTATTTTCCTGGTGATCATGACTGTGCTGTCAGCACTGTGACCACACCCGCCTCATTCAATGCGACAATGCTCTGAGCAGCTGATCCCCAAGCAACTGAGGTAGCAGGGACTGCACTCCGCAGAGGCTCTGACCACGCCTTGGATGCCTTGGAGTATTGTTGGACAGTCACCCCGCTGGGTCCACCAGTCAAGAGGAACTGGCCAGTGTAGTCCCAGAAGATCGAGTCAATCTGGCTTCCTGTGTCCAGCACCTTGGTTTCCTTGGAGCTGCGAAGATCCCAGATCGAGACAGTAGTAGACTGCGCGGCCACCGCAGCGAGGTATGTACCGTTCTCAGAGAAGAACAAGCATTTGACTGGGCCCGACATTGCATAGTCCGCAGCAGCGCCACCAGTCTTGACATCGAAGATCTTGACTTGTCCGTCTGCGCCACCGGCTGCGATCAAGTGGCCGTCGGGGTGGAAGTTGACAGACAGTAGAGCTGAGCAAAAGTGATTAGTTTCACGCTTGAACATGTATTCTATACGGTGACCTCTTACCTGCATCGCAGAAAATTTGGGAAACCACAGTGTTCGTGGTGAGATCATAAAGCACATAACTCTTGTCGACACCAACTGAGGCAACAATGTCACCAGTAGCGTGAACTGTGACAGCTGTAACCTCACCAGCGTGGGAGGCGAAGCTCACAACCTCGGCGTCATTCTCAAAGACCTTGACGGAGCCCGTGGAGGAGCCCACAACAGCCTTGTTTCCTGCCCATGTCGCATCCGTGACTGGGCCATCTGTCTTGAGGGTCTGTACCACACTCTTCTGGGAGAGCGAGTATACACCAACCACACCATCAACACCACCAACGAGGGCCAGCTCACCAGTCGAGTTGATAGCCAAAGTGCGGCCACCGGGGTAGAGAGGCTCGGAGGTCTCAGTTGGTTTGAATGTGGAAACAGTCTCACTGGAGGCCCAGCCCTCAGGGACTGCACGCTTACGCCGGGTCTTTTGTAGCCTGTCTAATCATTAGCCGTTGGTCCAAAAGTACACAAGGTCAAAGAGCAGTTCCACATACGCTGCCTGTGTGTTCTCAATCCGCTCCAACATTGCCTGGGGCAAGCCCGTGGAGTCCACCTGCATAGCTTCGCCTCCAGCGCGAGTAGTATCAACGGAAACATTCGAAAGTGCCTCGCGGGCCTCATCCCTCTCCTGCGTCAGGCGCGCGATCACCCGCACTGCGGCATCGTGCTGATAGAGCGCCAAACTTAGCTCACGTCTTGTCTGTGCCAGATTTTGCTGCAAAGTGAAGGTTTCTAGGGCCAAAGCATCCCATTCTTCTTGGAAAACGCCGAGAAGAGACGGGATAGATGTGAGGGTAGGGGGTCGGGGTCGGACAACGCGTTGCGACTTGAGATCGATCAGATTGTCGGTGGTAAGCTCCTCGCCGTTCACGGGATCTTTGCCATGCTCAGTAATGTAAGCCTCAATGAGGCGCTTTTCAAACACACTGCCTGTTTCATTATGAGATTAATGTCGTGCGCGCAAGGTGACTTGGAGTACGTACCACTCTTGGTAGAGACGACGGGCACTTGGGGTGCTTCTCCGGAGACTATGAGAAAAGATTGGTTAGAAAACTCTGTTCAAAGAAGAATGACAAATTGCGATTGACTGTAAGTCACTCACTAGCACAAAGCATAGTTATTTGAGATTGATTGATGAGGGTTGATGGAGAGGACTTGACGCGGAGCGGCTCCTTGGACTTTTTGATGTGTCCTATTGCGGTTTAGCGTTTTGAGTTGAGGGCGGTGTAGTAGGATGGGATATTCCGACCAGCAGTGACGTAAGTCTGGCAAACACTGTCCGGCAGAGAAATCGAGCGCTTCGTATCGAAATGTAAGTGGTATAAAGGCGGAGAGCCCCGCGGTGAGAGTTTCGAACCAATCGGGGTTCAGAATCTGGACAATCGCAAAACCCCGCTGTAGAGGCCAGCAGCTATCGACTTTTGCAATCATCCAATTCTTGCTTTTGCACATAAAGCCTCTACTTGTCTTTTTTCATGGGCAAAATATACTTTTCTCAATGATCTACAAGATAGGTGCAGGGCAGCACAAGTACAAAGCTTCACTGGAAAGCTAGCAGTCGAATGCAACATTCCCACCATGCCTAAGAACCCAAAGTTTGAATATGGTATGTCTTTTCCCGCCTCTCTTGTGTATGCTATATCAATCTGATCTGTTATACAGATGCAAAGCAGCCTGCGTTCCTCCAGAAACTCCGGGGCCAGTATGGAGACAACACCGGTCGCTTGGAGCGACCTGCCTTACGACCGACCAGACTCAAAGTCAATAATGACGACGATGATGACGAGCCTACCTACATCGATGAAGACAGCAACGAAGTGATTTCCAAAGAGGAATACAAGGCAATGGTTGGTGAAAGTGGCCCAAAAGAAGAGGGGGAGGCCGGAGACTCAGCGATGGACAACTCCACTGGCGATCATGTGAAATCCCAAACAGAAGCTTCCATCAGCAAACAGAATAATCTCACTGAGATTGGGGGTCAGAGGAAACGAAAACAGGCCAAGGTGGTGGGTGAGGACAAGGCCGAAGCTAAAGAAGTCCAGCCCAAGGCGGCTTCGAAGAAATCTAAGAAGCCTAAGAAGATCAAGCTATCCTTCGACGAGGAATGAAAGCCGAGCGAAGCTGAGAATCAGAGTATTTGCCCCAGTTTCCAGGTCTTGAACCTTTGACTCAGTGGAAATATTTGAGGACTCATGATGAGTCAATAGAACCAGGATCCAGTCACAACGGAGATTCTATGTACTGTTAAGGTCAATGTCATCACGTAGAAGAATACCCTGGTAGTAATGTCAATATCCAGTCTACAAGATATAAATCCACCCAGCTCAAGAATCGGACTGAAAAAAAAAATTAGAGTGCTGTTGACGGTCTGGGCCAAGGGCGCATGCATCTTTATCAGCAACTTTTTTTGCAACTTTTTTTTTTCTCTTGCGGGATCCAGTCGCCTTTCTTCTTTACAAACCTGCTCTGGGTCTCAGTATCAGCCGAGATGCCTGTTGTTAATGTCGACCAGTTGGTCCGCCTACAACGGCAGCCCGAGGACATAAGAAATGTGCGTGTGCCCCTCCATCCCACTCTGATCTCTGATGTCAGGGCCCTATACTAATCTCAAGCCACCAGATCTGCATTTTGGCACACGTTGTAAGTCAGAGAACTACACACCGATTTTTGTCCTACACGAATTTAAAAAAATCCTCATCACCTTTTCTTTTGCATTTCTAGGATCACGGCAAGACATCATTGACAGATAGTCTTATTGCCACAAATGGCATCATCTCACCAAAGCTGGCCGGTAAGATCCGCTATCTGGACTCTCGTCCAGATGAGCAGCTTCGAGGGATCACAATGGAGTCTTCAGCCATCTCACTGTTCTTCTCGATGCTCCGCCGTCCAAGCCCGGACGCAGAGCCAGTGCCCAAGGAGTATCTGATCAACCTGATCGATTCGCCTGGTCACATTGATTTTAGCAGCGAGGTCTCAACTGCATCTCGTCTTTGCGATGGTGCAGTTGTGCTCGTTGACGCAGTCGAAGGTGTCTGTAGTCAGACCGTGACTGTGTTGCGACAGACTTGGGTCGAGCAGTTGAAGCCGATCCTGGTTATAAACAAGATGGACCGCTTGGTAACAGAGCTGAAGATGAGCCCTGCTGAGGCTTTCTCGCATCTTAGTCGACTGTTGGAACAGGTCAATGCTGTCATCGGTAGTTTCTACCAGGGTGAACGCATGGAAGAAGATTTGCAGTGGCGTGAACGTATGGAAGACCGTCTCAACGCTGCAGCTGCTCGAGACCAGGACAGCAAAAAGCCGTCGACAGAGGATGAGTCTGCACAGAGCATCAATGAAGGAACTGAATTTGAGGAGCGCGATGACGAGGATCTTTATTTCGCACCCGAGAAAAACAACGTCATCTTCTGCAGTGCTGTCGATGGCTGGGCTTTCACAATCCGGCAGTTCGCCTCTATTTACGAGAGGAAACTCGGGATTAAACGAACAGTTCTGGAAAAAGTGCTTTGGGGTGATTATTACTTGGACCCCAAAACGAAGCGTGTCTTGGGTGTGAAGCATCTGAAGGGACGTGCTTTGAAGCCCATGTTCGTTCAATTGGTCTTGGATAGTATTTGGGCAGCTTACCAAGCCACCACAGGGGGTGATAAGGGCAAAGGGTAAGTTGATAATGAATCTAGCCATCGTGTCTACGCTGATATTGACCTTTCCTAGCGACCCAATATTGTTGGAGAAGATCACCAAATCACTCAACATTAACATCCCAGTATATGTCTTGCGCGGACGTGATCCGAGGAACATTATGAATGCACTGTTCTCTCAATGGCTGCCACTATCTACTGCCCTGCTGGTTTCCGTCATTGAGTATCTCCCCAGTCCCCCCGCTGCGCAAGCTGCTCGACTACCGGAAATGATCAAGACATCCCCCGGTGCTGCTTTCATTGCCGATGATATCAAGACTGCCATGGTGGATTTCAAGACAGGACCTGAACAACCTGTGGTGGCATACGTCAGCAAGATGGTTGCGATCCCGGAGAGCGAGCTTCTATCTAACAAGAAGCGTAGCGAAGGTGCCATGACTGCGGCCGAAGCCCTTGAGCTTGCGCGCCGGAAGCGAGAGGAAATTGCAAAGATGCAGGCAGAGGCCCGCAGTAATGGACAGGAGGATGACTTTGAGCGCATGACATCATATTTCGAAACCACCTCATTGATCACTGAAACGACCGAGGAACCAGAAGAGCCAGTGGAGAAGGACGACCCTGACCATCTCATTGGTTTCGCCCGACTCTATTCTGGAACTCTTTCAGTTGGTGATGAGATCTATGTTCTCCCGCCCAAGTTCTCCCCAGCCCACCCGCACGCCAGCCCGGAGCCAAAGAAAGTCACAGTCACGGACTTGTACCTGATGATGGGCCGGGCTCTCGAGCCCCTTAAGTCCGTACCAGCCGGTGTGGTGTTCGGAATTGGAGGTCTTGCAGGCCACGTCTTGAAGACAGGTACCCTCTGCAGCCGATTGGATGGAAGTATCAACTTGGCCGGCGTTTCACTGAGTATGCCGCCCATCGTCCGAGTCGCGCTGGAACCAGTCAATCCAGCAGACCTGAGCAAAATGGTCAACGGTCTGCGCTTGCTGGAACAGAGTGATCCTTGTGCGCAGTACGAAGTGCTCCCTAGCGGTGAACATGTTATCCTCACAGCAGGTGAACTGCATTTGGAGCGTTGTGTGACAGATCTACGGGAGCGTTTCGCGCGTTGCGAAATCCAGACCGGCGAGGCTATCGTTCCCTACCGTGAAACTATTGTTTATGGCCCCGAGATGGCCGCACCCAAGAATCCTGAGCTAGGACGTGGAGCCGTTTTGACGGTTTCCGCTTCTAAGCAAATGACCCTTCGTCTGCGCGTGGTTCCGATGCCAGAGGCCGTGACGGAATTCCTGACCAAACAAGTCGGAACTATTAAGCAGCTCCAATTGGAGAAGCGCTCAGAGGCTGAAGGCAAGACAGAGACCGAGAACGCAGCCGAAGCTGTCGTTGACGGTACTGGCGAGGCGCCTGAAGGCCAAATTCTCTCAAAGCAGGACTTCCGCGAGGGATTAGACAAGTTGTTCAACGAGGAGGTCAAGGAAGACAAGGAACTATGGAAGAACGTCGTCAACCGAATCACCGCTTTTGGACCCCGAAGAGTCGGTCCTAACATTCTTGTTGATGCAACTGCAGTCAACACATGCGAGAAATTGTGAGTATATAGAGAGGTTCAAAAAGCACTGCGCTTGTCATTCGAATCTAACATCTCCTTTCTAGCTTGGTTGATGACGCCAAGCAACAGATTGATGCTGAAAACCAACAAGCACTACTCGTTCGGGACTTCAACGACAAGATCGCATATGCCTTCCAGCTCGCAACGGGCCAAGGCCCCTTGTGCCAGGAGCCTATGCAAGGTGTGGCCGTGTTCCTGGAAGACCTATCTGTTCAGTCTAATGCAAGCGATGAGCTTGACATGGGCCGATTGACGGGCGAGTCAATCAGACTGGTCCGTGAAGGCATCTCGGCTGGTTTCCTAGACTGGAGTCCTCGCATCATGCTCGCAATGTACAGTTGCGAGATCCAAGCTACCAGTCAGTATCTTTTATCTTTCCCTTCTTATTGCCTAACCTACCTTCACACCATTCTATACCCCACATGCAAAAACAAACCCACAACTGACACGCCATCTTCACCACCAAAGCCGAAGTCCTAGGCCGCGTCTACGCAGTAATCACCCGCCGCCGAGGCCGCATTCTCTCCGAAATCATGAAAGAAGGCACGCCATTCTTCACAATTCTCGCTCTCCTCCCCGTCGCCGAGTCATTCGGGTTCGCCGAGGAGATCCGCAAGCGGACGTCCGGCGCCGCGCAACCGCAACTGATTTTTGCAGGCTTCGAGGCTCTCGACGAGGATCCATTCTGGGTGCCTGCTACCGAAGAAGAACTTGAGGATCTGGGTGAACTAGCGGATAAGCAGAATGTTGCTAAGCGGTATATGGATGCTGTGCGCAATCGCAAGGGTTTGGTTGTTCAAGGACGTAAGTTGATTGACGCGGAGAAACAGAAGACATTGAAGAAGTAAAGTCGGTGTAGGATTTACTCTGGTAGAGTCAAAAATGGGAAATTTAAGTGCATTTCATTTTGGGGGGTTTCTAGGATTGCCATGGATGTGATGCATGGATTGGGGATGTCACTCCGAAAACATCTGTTGAGTCGCACTGAGTAGACTTCGGCACAACAGATGAAAAATTGGAGGTTCACAGAAGATGAGAGTCCTCTGCGTGCTCTTCAAAAAAGAAACTTCAATCTCCCTCTCTTGACAAACACAGTCCGACATGGCATAGGTCTCGACCGTGTATACTAAGGAGGGTTACCCAGTAGGGTCTACGAGTAGCAGCGGTGACGCCTCTCTACTTGGAACGCCAGGCGAAGAAAAAAGTGACCACAGCATGGCAGACTGTGGTCGAGGATCGAAGGAAAAGAAAGGGCGTGAATGACATGGATTTTTCAATCCTGTCTCCGTTCGGAATCTTTATTCTGAAATCGTTATCACTGTCAACGATACACATGTCCAGAAGTACACATTGGTGTAATTTGATCGTGTCAAATGGGGACGGGTTCCCAGCTTTGTGAAACATGGAAGTCGTCATGCCCAAGCGGGATCCTGCTGCTTGAGAGCATGGAACAAGTGTGGGAGCTTGAGAAGCGTCTTTCGCAGCGAGTTTTGGGAGTGAACTTTTGTTTGACACCCAGACACCCATAGATCCCGGAGGTAGAAAGACACTGCTCTCGGGGGATGAGCAGCTCTGTTACTGACACATGGGTGTAGGGGCAGAGTCTGCTTTGTTGCTGTTTGCTGAACCACTATATGGCCAGTTATATTTTGAGGTAAACTATCGGTCATTCGAATAGAAAGCCAACAGCCACGCAAGGAAGGGGACCGAGTTCGAACAAGTTCATGTTCTCAGAACGGCCTGGCGACCTTCCTCTGCTCACTTGTTCCAGTGACAGGATCTCTCATTTCTTTCCAGCTAACAGGGAACATCATGTTGCCAGCGTCACTGCGAGCCATGACAACACCGAGATCATTGCGCGCGGTGGTGATGTAATAGAAGCTCTGATCGCCAAGCGAGATAACAGAGCCACGAACAATATCGCCGACACGGAACATCTCATCCATGACGACACGATCCTTCTCTACGGCCCGTACATCCTCCTTTCGGATAAGTGCCTGGAAGCGTAGCTCGTCGGTGCTGCTATGGTTCTCTGGGTTAGCCGCAGATGTGAGGATGGAGGCGACGTTGTCGTTGTCTGAGTCTGTTCGTGATGGGTCTTGCAATTGTGACTTTGATTCATCTATTACGACGAGGATGGAGACTGTGGCTTGCCGTTTCTGCACGCGGGTCACTCGAGCGAGAACGATGGAGTCTACGGCGGGGAGGGTGTTGTAGCGGGGCTTCGGCGTCGTGGACGACGCGGCGGGAACAGCTGGGTTTGAGCCCGCTTGGGCCTTGGGGGATGTCACTCGTAACACTCTGATGGTTGGTCTTGTTTGTGACTTCGGCTGTGCAGGGTCTGCAACCACGGGACCGGCAATGGACGCGTAGATGAAGGATTGCTGAACATGTGTGCCGGGGCCTGCACAGTATGTAGATAAAGGGCCGAGGCGTTGCCCAGGAATAGCGATAGGAGGTAGAGAAGCCATCTTGCAAAATTGGGGTTGGGCCAATTTAGAGTGGAAGAGTTCTTGGGTTTGCAAAGGCAGCGAGATTTCTGGAGCTTTTTTTTTAGGGAGCTCTTCTGCGGCCCGGGTTTAAGTTATCCCGAAATAGATTATATCCACACCTCTCAAACACACCTTCAAACAACTTGATCTACTTGGCTCGATTACAATTTGTCCATGGAAAATTCCGTCTTTTTTCCAGGAAATTAATTATAGAGCCCATACCTAAGATGAAAAAACAGAGTATGCGTTGGAACAACAGAGACAGCGGCACCGGCCCAGAAATCACGTGGACATGTAACAACAAGAGAAGAGATAATAAAGAAAAGTCCGCATCACTCCAAATTCCCGCTGACGATAGTGAATAAGTGGATTTATTGTCCGTACAGTACCCCTTGGTGGGGAAAGAAAGAGGATCACAAAGAAAGGCTGACATGGCACATAACCGAAAAATAATAAAACAATGGAATGATCAGACGAAATAGAGGGTTCAAGCTTCCACCAGGGTCTGTTTAGGACCAGCTCCAACCAGCTCAAGGCAGCGACGAGCAAGCGTAATAACTTCTCCATCACTGTCATCCACATCTTCTTCGTCCGATTCGATATTCTTGTCGGAGATGATCTTGACCAATTGCACAATGTCTTCGGATCGTGAAATATACCCAATGAGCTTCTTGTCTTCGGACTCTAGCAGTTGGAGGAGAGTCCAGATGGCAATGTGCTGGAATGTTGGATCTCCACTGGCAAGGAAGCGATGAAGGTAACCATGAATGCCACCATTGGCGTCAGCCCAGTCGCGAACGAACATCGAATAATCGCCAACTGCAGTTTTGTTAGCAGATGATGACAGGACACCAAAAGACAAGGAGCGTCAAGGGGAAAGTAGAATACCTTTCGAGGACAGATTGCCCAAAGCAGCCGCGCTGTTGCCTTGCACCTCAATGCTTTCGGAGTTGGTTAGAGGAATCAAGACGTCAAAGACTCCTAGATTGAGAAGATGCGGCTTCAACTCTTCGCTGAGGGCCAGGACAGCGATTGCAGCAGTCATCTCAGATTGGACTGTGAGGGGAACACGGAGGACCAAGTCCTTACACTTCTGTACTGCTCCGGCCTGCAGGACAAGTTCTTTGTTGCGATCGGAGCTAGCTGCAAGGTTGCGAAGCGTGGATATGGCATGGCATTGAATCTCTTCATTGTCAGTCGAGCCTAAGAGATCCACCAACGGCTTCAAGAAACCTGCTTCGATAATAGGGGATTCATTAAGAGGATGAATAGATATGTTGCGGATACAAGCGACGGCAGATAAGATGAGAGGAAGGTAGGAAGATTGTAGCAGTCGTAGAAGTGGGGAAAGACCCTTCGCCCGAACGATTTCAAGCTGGTATTTCTCATCAGAGGCGAGGTTACGCAAGGCGAGTGCCGCTTGGCATTGGACCTTGGGGGTGGATGAATCCATAAGATGAACCAATGATTGCACGAGGCGCGACTCGGTTTGTGCGAGTCGCTTGCGATTGGTCGAGTCAACGGCGATATTGCTAAGAGCGGTTGTGCAGTAGTACTGAACGTCAACGTCGGGGGATGAGAGGAGATGCACGAGCACGGGAATGGCGCCGGCATTGACAAGTTGTTGCCGGTTATCATCTGGTTTTTGTGTTAGAGAACAGCAATTTTTTCCCCCGGTGAAACAGTCGAAATCGCTTACCCGAATGGGTCATATTGAGCAGTGCGCCCGTCGCATTTCGCTGGACACGCATGTCCTTCGACTTAGCCAGGCGAATGAGAGGACCTAGAGCGCCAGAGCGAGCAATTTTGGCCTTGTTCTCCTCATGCGTCGCGAGATTGGTAATACAACCGACCGCATTGCATTGTACCTCTACATTGGGCGACATCATCTGACGAATCAGGGGAGACAGCCCCCCGAGGGTGACGATCAAGACCTTGTTCTCAGCTGCACTGAGTTAGCGACCGTGTGGGACGCAGGAAAGCAGATAGATGACGGGGATTGAGACCAACCATTCACGGCGAGATTGCCCAGCGCTGCACTAGCAGCCCGTTGAACTTCGATATCTGAGCTTTGAAGTAGGAAGAGGATTGGTTCGAGGGTATTACGATCGACCTCGCGCACATCTGCAGACCAGACGAAAGGTCAGCTATTGCATCATTGTCGCCCAGACGGCGATACGCACCTCGCTCTGTGATCTCAGCAAAAGTCAAGCTAGCGCTTCTTTGCAGGTCAACGTTTTCGGAGTAAACTAGAGTACTTAAGGCTCGTAGTGGCTCGCCGTGGAAGAAGTCGGTCTCTGCGCGCTGTCAAGTAAAAGTTAGCGGTATGCTTGAGGTATCGCGGTATCCAGATAATCCAAGTCTCAATATTCTGATTCAGGGAAGAGAATTGTAGCGATATAGAATGATAAATTGTCTTGCACGTACGTTCTCCAAATAGCCCAGAAGGTCTGATACCGCTTCTCGCTCATTGTCGGCCAAGGTGGTTTCGTAGATACCGTCTCGAGAACGAGCTCCGATGGGACCGAGACAAGCTGTAATATGACACCATCGGTCCACTACTGAAAGGCAAGACAGACAGACAGTCGCAATTCCACTCATGCTGGCTAGCAGGCCCGCATCGGGCACGGTCTTACGGTGAGGTCGGAGATAGAGGCAAAAGATGAGCGGTCTGGGGAGGTGAGATTAAGGAAGTCGAATAAAGTCAAAGCTTCGGAGGGAAACACAAAGAGAAGGCTGGTGCGTGAGAAACCAAAAAAAGGCACTTTTGGAGAGAAGCCTCCTGATGCTTGAAGGAAGGAAGTTCCAAGCGTTTCATCAAGGGAGGGGGAAGAGAGATCGAGATCGAACTAGTCTCCTCAGGCAGAAACTTTGGATTCAATGGCTTTCTATAACCTAGAGATATATCGATGTCGATATGTAAACCCTCTGTGATTGAATTGACTCTTTCAATCTTGTTCTTTTTCTTTTTCTTGCATCATCTTCGTTATCTCCAAGTAAAGGTTTTGTAACAATTCTTTTTAGAGCTCCAACGCATACATCATCCCGGGGATAGCTCTGGGCTGACCAATCCGAAAAAGGAGATCAACTGCATCTACGGAGTACAAAGTACAGTAATTCACCATCGTGCACTCCACACCTTATATCTCTACACTACTTGTTACTCTCTAGAGGTGAGAATACCGTCTATATCACTATATCACTTACTCGATATTCTCAGATCGGGTTCAACGCCTTTTTACCTACTCGGGCCGTCGGAAGTGCACTTTCCAGCCTCCCGAGGGTCCGTGACCACACGACCAATGAAGGCATATCACTTTTGCTCTTGTGATTTCCCAAGTGATGCAGATGATCACCAGTTAAAGTCATGAGTGGGGGCACGTCAGTACTCTTCGGAGATTGACATGGGCACTAAGTATCATATGGAATACTACAGAGTACTCCAGGAGCACTCTGTCAGTACTCTGTACACAGATGGAAATTGATATTGTTTTCCGAAAGACTAGTTCCGTTTAGGTCAAAACGTATTAACCGAATTCTGACTTGCCAAATACCCTTTGTTTCATCTTTCAATATCGGCATAACACACATGGAGTATGGAATACAGATTATGTGAAAGCATGGACCACTTGGCAATCTAGTTATGCTGTTTTATGTTGTACATGAAGCAAGGACGCTTAAATGTGCAGACCGAGGCTGTCAGTTTATGGCCTGCATATCGAGTCAGTACATAGTCACGTTCTTTTCTTCCAATTTTCCATCCTTATATAATCATGTGCTTCTCTCGTGGGTTATGCATCTAGATAGTAATGGTAATTTAATATCGCATTCTCTTCATTTATATCTGTTAGTGTGCTCGGCTGTGCGGGGAAATAGCATCTCCGCCAAGAAATGCTGACTGGGCAGTAGCCGATGGAAAAATGGGCAAATACCCAGACAGTCCCGCAGGGGGAAAGAGAGAAAGAGAGAAAGAGACATAGAGACAAAGAGAGAACATATACCATCACAAAGGGCTAACCTTTCCGACTCTTCTTTCATCTTCCGATCTTCTTTCACTTCTTTGTTCGTTCCTTTTTTTTTTTTTTGGACTTTCCAAGGGCTCCTCTCTTTTTCAAGATCTCATCCCTTTATCCTCATCATATGATGTCTTGGTAAACCCATTGAATAGCATCAGCCCAGTTGCATATCCCACCTGTGACGTACCCTTCTCCATCTCTGGGCATTATTTAATTTCTCTGTTGAATTCTTTCATGGTCGCCAAATCCGAATCCATGTCTACTTCAGTCACCGCCTCCACCTCCCTCCCTGACTGCCCTCGCCCCAGTCGCTTGCGCCGCTTCAGTCTACGAACCTACAATCAGAATCCACCCACCTCGCCCAGCGGGCAGCACTCGTATAGACACAGTTTGAGTAGCCGAATTCACTGGCGGCTCTCGAATCCGGGCTCCATCTCTCCGACAGCGACCTCCCCAGCTCCATGTCCGGAAAGTGACCACCCAATTCTCTCTCGTTACACTTCTGCACCCGCCCCGAGTTACGGTTTTGGTACCGAACTCAATAGTCAAGTGTCATCCACCGATTCCGCCGCTTCCACACCTTCCAACGACCCTATTCAATCGCCCAATCCCATGGCGCGCCTGAGGAGCACCTCGGCCGCCCATCGTCCGCCACCTCGCACGTTGGATCGTGCCACAAACAACTCTCAAGAGATCACCCCGTCCCTTGAACCGGGCGCTGTTCAAAGCAATGCGACCGAACCCACCAGCGCTGCTGCCGATGGACAGGTGACTCTTCCCAAATCGGAGACCAAGGCGACTATTCGGTTTTTCCCCTACCAGGATGCCCTTCAGAGTTCGAGGCCCTCGTTGCCTTTCGTCCCAGTCGCCCGTACCCTTCCATCAGAGAGCTGTGTTATTCGCGTCGGTCGATACTCGGAGCGTGATGGTGTGCCCCGCCCTAACCCGACCGAACCTTCAGATTCTCCCGTAGGGTTCAAATCCAAGGTCGTTAGCCGGAAACATTGCGAGTTTCTATACATGAATGGACAGTGGCACATTAAGGATGTTGGTAGTTCTTCGGGAACCTTTTTGAACCACATGCGTTTGAGTCAGCCAAACATGGTGTCTCGTCTGTACTCCATCAAAGACGGCGACATCGTGCAGTTGGGTATAGACTTCCGAGGGGGAGAAGAAATGATCTTCCGATGCGTTCGGATTCGAATTGAGTGCAATCGATCGTGGCAGCAGAAGCCTAACGAGTTCAAGTGGGATCCTACCTATTGTCCCAAATGTCTTGTGATGCTAACAATCATTCCAGCAAAAATACAGAAAGCCTTATTAAAAACTTGGGCAAGGGTGAGACGGCTGACTATTCGGGTTGTCGTGAATGCTCGATTTGCCTTGGCTCGGTCTTGGTTCGTTCCTTCCCTTTTCCCGTTAATTCTTCATCTACTAACTATAATGAAGCGACCTTATCAGTGTTTGTTTATGGCGGCCTGCGCGCATGTCTGGCATTACAAATGTATCAGTCGTTTACTCCACTCCCCCGATTACCCAATGTTCCAATGCCCCAACTGTCGTGCATTCACCGATCTCAGCGCCGAAGTTGATGACTCGAATGACGTGGAGGAAAAACGAGAGAAGGAGCCGGTAGAAAACCGGACATCCTCTGCCGAACGGCCTGAAACAGAGGCGCCTTCGGCCGTCGAAACAAACGGCATGGAACGGCCCTCAGATCAGCTCGGAGATCTTCCCGAAGAAGAAAACCTGGTCAACAATGTTGAGAACCTGCATCTACAAGATGACCAGCAAACGGATGACACTCGAAGCTCAGCCTCGCCAGCCCCTCACTCAAGCACCGATGACCTCGCCCGCAGCGCCACAGTCAACATCCCCGGGTGGCAACCGACGCCACCAGTCAATGTGCCGTCCGGTCGCCCATCACAACTAAGATCTGAGACGCCAACATCTGATGATAACCCGTTGACCCCGCGAAATGACTCGGGGCCTTTGGCCTTCGATGGCAGAGCAGGAATGCCGTAATGCGTCGCTTCGGATCGAACTAATTTCTGGGAAACGAAGGCTTTAAGCATCCCAATACATCTTAATCCTCTGTTTTGGCCTCAAAATTTACCCTCCTGTAGGGGTTTATCATCTGCGCATTCTACAATATCACAAGTGCAAGGAAGCAAGCCTGCGTTGACTTCTCCGGGTACACACCCTATATACACCGTTTGCATTGTTCAATATCGCTCACCTTTATTATCTAATTTGACTCATCGTGGCAGTCCCCGCAATTCTTTTCTTTTCTCCTTCTTTTATCCCCTGTCCGATAACCTACTGATACCCATTCGAGATCTGGACTGTTATTTTGAATATCGGCACATCTGATGAACCAGGAACACTCTTTCGTTAGCCTCGGAACGCTTTTGATTCCTTTTAGTTACAACTCGGTAATGACACGTTCTTGGCTCATCTCCTGGTACCGCATTCTTTTCCCTGCCTGTCTCACACCCAGGTAGCCTCGGAGGCCCCCACTATAAGCGGATTATCGACCTCGTGAAACACGACTGGAACCCCTTTCGAGAAGTCCCAGAGCTATTTAAGGTCATCAGAAGATTTTCTATGTTTCTGAGCAGCATGACTCACCCGGCTTTCTACTACTTTCCAGTGTTGACTATCAAGGCCGGTCCTGGGACGATACACATCAAGTCGTTCTAGTCGGTTCTCGGCACCCCAGATGTCTAAGAGCGAAAGGACAAACTGCTTGTTGGCATGCTTCAGCCGCAGGACACCGTGATGGATTCTCTGCAGGTAATGCTTGCTGATGAATTCTGTAATATCCATCTGGCACATGATGATATGTGCACTGGGAGTGCCGTAGAGGTTGAGGGGTATTCGATATAGATGGTGAAGAACTTCTTTGGTAATCTCTTTGTTGAGGAGAAGAATGGACTGGGTACATCGCTTCACATAAGGTCGAGGAATGACGCAAAGAGGACCGCCCATGGCTAATGACCCGGGGTCCCTTAGCTTTCGATAGCTCTTCACATATTCATTTGGTTTGAGTAAATGAGTGTAAACGATCAGGCGAATCTCGGCTGGTAGATCAAGTAAGGAAACCATCTTAATTTAGAATCATCAAGTGAAAGGTCCTTGTCTTGTCTGTACTTACCCCTCTTTTGGGTCTCTCGATGGCCCCCTCGAGGCCCTATTGGCTGTGGTTGGATTGTGATGGAAATTGACAACAGTCTCTTCTCTCGCTCATGGCAATCGTTACCACTGGGACAATCCAGGCCTACTAAAGTTGTATTGTCATCCTAACGAAAAACAGAAATTCTAAATTTTTTTGGGAGTTATCGAAACAACCAGGAAGTTGACTGCATACAACTACCCCAACGGACTGCCTATATATATATATATTTTTTTAACCTGACAGTTATCACAACTTGGAGGGAGAGTAGCCTCCCAATGAAAGCTTCACCCACTCCTCAACAGTCCTCAACTCCCTTCTAATCAACCACCTTTAAACACTCAGTTTCCCTTTTAATCCACACCGACGTGTGACATCCAAAATGGCCAACTAGTGTAGATACTCCCACGTGACCGATGGCGCGAGAGATGCCAAGTGGGTCCGGAATCAAAGAGTTCGCTGGACCCGCTTTCAACCTTTGGGATGTTGACCATCCTGGACTCGATTTCAATTCCCCCCGGATTTGAGGGCTTGGTGGAAAAAGAGACACCATCTTCCCAGATCCACTGACAGGGGTCAGCCTCACAGATTGAAGGCGATCGGTTCAGATCTTAAACAAGATGAGGTTGAATTTTAGCGAGTCACCTACTCCGACCTTGAGTCGCCAAAATACTGTCATACAAGGTCATCAAAGGCGTGGCACTCATCCCCATCGGCTATCAACGCGGGCAAAGCCAAGAAGGTGAGCTAACTAATCGGTATCTGCTAATCATCCGCATGTACTAATATTGAGTAGATGGCCACTTGTCTTCCGCTTTATCAAAGGTGCAATCCATGGTGCCATTTTAGTACCCGTCTTTCTGCATGCTTTATTCACAGCCTTTGTTGTTTACCTGGATAACTACGTATTCGAGACTGTCGGTCTACCTACCACAATCGTATGTATCTCCAATTAATGAGACAAGACAGCAACTAAACATAGCCCCACAGATCCCATCTTTATCTATTGTCGTAGGTCTGATGCTTGTCTTCCGCAACCAAACATCCTACAACCGATTCTGGGATGGGCGGAACGGAATGAACACACTCAACACCTGTGTGCGTAACCTCGTCCGCACAATCGCAACAAATAGTTACAATTCAAAGCGGGGACCACCCACTGCCGCAGAGCGCGAGGATATCGAGCGCACTGTTCGCATTCTTATGGCTATTCCGTATGCCGTAAAAAACCATTTACGTGCCGAGTGGGGCGCTGCTTGGGCTTTTGGTCATGCCGTCGATGAGGATCTAAACATGCATCCATCCACCCTTTACAACCCCGAATATGCCAACCTGTTACCTGCAGGCCTTGAAGGCCATGAAGATGAGGGATTAGGTCTTCCTTTCCAGTTAACTTTCTTCGTCGATGGGTTTATCAAGCGTGGCGAAGAGCGCGGATGGTATCCTGCGCCTGGTGCTAGTCAGATGCAGGCTCAGTTGAATACCTTGACTGATGCATATGGGAGGATGGAAACGATCAAGTTGACTCCGATGCCAGTGGCCCACCTGTAAGTTTAATGGCTCTAATGCATCTCAAGTTCGGTTTGTATGTGTCAATTCCTGACTCTAAAACAGGATCCACCAAAGGCAAGTCCTCGCCCTGTTTGGCTGTGTTTTACCGTTTGCCATGGTCGATGAGATGGGATGGTGGGCCATCCCCATTGTCAGCCTTGTCATCTTCACACTTTATGGCATTGAGGGAATAGGCTCGCAATTGGAAGATCCATTTGGCTACGACAGGAATGACATCAAGATGGATGCTATCGTCGGTGACTCCAAAACTGAAATTGATGTTGTTTTGTCTGAGTGGCGCACGCACTCGAAAGCCATGGAGGCATTGAAAGAACAGCCCGCTGGTGCAGTTCATGGTGACTTATGTTTAATGCCTGATCAAAATGAATCTGCAAACGGATGTGTGGACGGGAAGTATACGCCCCCAGACTTGTTCTTGAGATTGAGACCGAGTGATAGCAGGTGAAAGTCTGGATATAGAATACCTATCGGGTGTAAAAATGGCATGAGTATGTACATAAATAGTCTTAGTTGAGAATTAGAAACTTCAATCTACTTGAGAACTAGAAGCCCGGGTAGTCTTCTTCATGGTCTGAATATACCCACGACTGCCGCTCGAGTCTCGCTGGTTCCACTGTAGGCTACGATACTGAATTTGACATGATGGGATGCGCCTCGCCACGAATTGAATGATTATAAGCACGCAGCTTTGAATTTAAATCAGTTGGGTATCTAATGCGGCAATCAAGAATAGCCAAGCAGGTCCATTGAAATCTTATAAAGGCGGCTCGAGCGCTAGAACGCCATCCAGAATTGAGTCTGGCGTCACATCGGCGAGAATAACAGACACCGCACGTAAATCACTTCCATACTGCAGACTGCGGTCTTCGCCAGGGGGTGTGACAATAATGCGATGGCGAAAGACTTTCCTGGCGGCTAGGGCCACGATGGATGGAGTCAGATAATCGATACCATGCAGAGGAGCTAGAAGTCTGCAGAGCAAAATCAATAAGACAGACTGAAGGTAAAAGTCTGGTGAAGAACAAATTCGGACTCACCGTGCAAACCGGGAAAATTGAACGTTCGCGTTGGCAGACACACCACCCGCAACAGCGCGACTGAGCCGCAAAAATACAACGATATCCTGAATGTATCGAATAACTTCTGCGTTAGTGCTCACCGACGCACCTTTTTCTCGGAGTTGGTCAATCACCTGTAAGTCCATGAGCCCGGTATTAGATTGCTATGTTCAGTCCATGATCCAAAATCGTAATGGATTGAGATGATATCGAGCTTACCAACGGGCTGATCGTAGTATTCTTCGTTTGCTTGCCCTTTGAATTATGAATAACAGAGGAAGCCGAAAGTTCTCCATTTGAAAGCCAGTCATTCTCTTCGAGGTACGTATACCCATCCTCCTGGCTATGGAAATGAGAAATGAAGAGATTGTCATTCTACCGTAGCGTCAGCCAAAGCAAAGCAGCCAAAACGTGGGCGTGTACAAAGCACTTACCATATGTGGCTTCAAAGGTGGTTGAAGCTGATTGGAATCTCGTGCTACAAGGGGGATGAAAAGAAAGTCTTGAGGCGCACTCAGCGTCCCACTCTCAGTTACCAACTCCCCCACTCGCATTAACTATCCCGCATATCAGCATTGTCTGCACTAAGCTTTCGATCGGAATGCATACCTGCAGCATGTGCATTTGGATATCATCACTGACAAAATTGAAGTTCTTGGCGATTACAACATTGACAACGTTACTGCTGAGTAGTGAGAAGGGAGTTGGTGATTTGCTGTAATCCCCAAGACTTTTATAGGAAGAATTTTTGCTTGGCTGATTTCATTAGTCTATAAGAATGGTAGTGATAGCCAACATTTGAAATGTTGACATACCGATCCAGTATTCAGCCATGGACGCGATGGGAGATAGTTTGCGCGTGCATCCGGCGTGAGGACATCGTTGAAGATGTCGTCAATAGATGTTGCAGATGAACAGTCAAGGATACAGTATGAGTAATTGAATGTAGTTGAGCCAATCTGTCTTGCATTAGATATAATCTCAATGTTCTGGGTGCATTGACATACTAAGGCCAGTTCTTTAGCGAGGTCATTAATACAGTGGCTGGTGGTCTCGATCAAGCAATGTTCGCGGGCAGCAAGGCAAAGTAAAATGGCCACTTCAAGGTCAGATTGTTGTCGAGCAATATCAACGAGATCTGTATAATCCATGCTTTGAAAAGAGGACCAAGTTGGCCAATGAAGATGCAGCAACTATCAGGCGAAGTTGAGGATTGTAGTGGAGAATCGCCGCCTGATAATCAAGGCGAAAATAATACCCGATCAGGTCTAGCATGTGTGACACCGTCCTCCCGATCAACAACTCGAACATCCAACAACTGCCTAGATGGAGGATTCAGTGCCTCCTCTTTGATCAGATCCACAGTCATGCCACCCAATCCACTCGCAAACTGGGAAAAGGTCGGAAACAGCTTCTATCGCAAAATCGCTGTGTATGACGCCATCTTTGACGACGACGTCGAGTTAGAGAACTACATTGTCGCGGGCGCACCCTACGGAGGAGCTATTGGTAAGTCCTCATTTTGGAGAACCGCAGTTCTGGGCTAATGTGAAAACCAGCGCTTTATCGCGATGAAAGCAAGCCATTCAGGCTTCGGGATGGACAGGGCTCCCGTCCCGCAATTGATGTTTACTCATGCTCTGGGCAGAAAATCAATCGTATAAATGTTTGTTTACGCGTTGTGGTTGAATCAGATTGGATGATTACTAACTCATTTTAGTGGGAAAAAGCCACCATTCGCGGAATAGGCTGGTCTGATAAGGAAGAGCTCCTGGTCGTCTCTGAGGACGGGACAGTTCGACGTTACTTCGGATTGGACGGCGAGTTTACATCCTTCTCTCTCGGAAATGTGAGACTGAGTGACTGTCTGCCCTGGCCAAACTGTGCAAAATCTGACAATGTGACAGAGTGCTGAAGAGTATGGCGTGAGAGCCTGCCAGTTTTGGTCATCAGGCCTCGTTGCATTGCTGTCCAATAACCAGCTAATTGCTGTATCCAAATATGATGAGCCGCGTCCGCGGCTCTTGGCAACGTGCCCAGAAGGCGAGGTATCATCATGGGCTCTAATTCCACCAGCCCATACACTCTCACGCTCTGTTGAGGTTCTGCTAGCTGTTGACAAGACAGTCTTTTTAATCGACCCAACAGAAGCTGAAGATAAGATTCTGCAGGATGGTCCTTTCAAACACATTAGTGTGTCCCCAACAGGACGCTTTGTTGCACTTTTCACCGCAGAAGGAAAGTTATGGGTAGTCAGCAATGACTTCCAAAACAAGTTCAGCGAGTATGATTCAAAATCCCGGGTTCCGCCAAATACCGTGAATTGGTGTGGCGATGATGCTGTCATACTTGGATGGGAAGATGAAATTCATCTTGTTGGACCCAACGGAGTCGCATCAAAGTGAGTTGTCTATTTTGTGCAAGATCTGCAAGCACAATCTAATAATCCTAGATACTACTACGAAGGCCGCGTTCATGTCATCCCTGAGTTTGATGGAGTTCGTCTCATGACTAATGACACATGCGAATTTGTACACAAGGTTGCCAGTGAGTTGCCACTCCAAGGAAACAGCCAGACTATCATTGATCATTTCCAGATGTCACCGAGGAGATATTCCGTCTTGGATCGTTTTCTCCCGCTTCTGTCCTACTGGATTCGGTAGACCAACTGGAGAAAAAATCGCCCAAGGCTGATGAGAACATTCAGCGCATCCGATCGAGTTTGCCATCAGCAGTTGACACTTGCATCAAAGCAGCGGGCCAAGAATTTGACGCCTACTGGCAGAAACGCCTGTTGAAAGCTGCATCATTTGGCAAATCTGTCCTTGAACTTTACAATAGCGATGAGTTCGTTGAAATGACCGAGAAACTGCGTGTTCTGAAAGCATTGAGAGACTATAAGATTGGGCTGCCATTATCATACGAACAATATCTGCGCCTCACACCAGAAGGACTTATCGAACGCCTAATCAGCCGACATGAATATCTGCTTGCGATACGGATTTCGGAATATCTACAGATTCCCGCAGACAAAATTTATGTTCATTGGGCAAGCCAGAAGGTGAAGGTCTCGAATGTTGATGACGAAGCTGTATGCAAGCTTATTGTCCAAAGACTCGATGGAAAACCAGGAATTTCGTTTGAGGTTATCGCTCAGGCGGCTTTTGATGAAGGTCGGTCTCACCTGGCTACCCTATTGCTCAATTATGAACCACGGGCCGGCAAGCAGGTTCCTCTGCTTTTGAACATGGAGGAAGATGAGCTCGCTCTTGATAAGGCGATTGAGAGCGGTGATGATGACTTGGTGAACTACGTGCTTCTACATCTTAAGAGCAAGCTTCCTTTGGCAAGCTTCTTCCGAATGATCAACACCCGCCCAATGGCTTCTGCACTTGTGGAGACTGCTGCACGAGGCGAAGACATCGAGTTACTAAAAGACTTGTTCTACCAAGACGATCGACCCATTGATGGCGCTAATGTGCTACTGTCAGAAGCATTGCGCGATACGGATTTGACACGCCAAACCGAGAAGCTCCAATTAGCCTCTCGCCTCTTGTCTGATTCTAAGGAACCGACAGTGGTACTAAACCAAAAATTAGTCTCTGAGGCCTCCCAACTTTTGAAAGCGCAAGACGCATTGGATAAAGACTTGGCGGACCACAGCGAGTTCCTGGGTCTCAGTCTGAACGAGACAGTCTACAGACTTGTCCGAGGTGGTTACGGTAAAAGAGCACACAAAATCCAAAGTGAATTCAAAATGCCCGAAAAATCATTTTGGTGGTTGAGATTGAGAGCTTTGGTGGCTAAACGTGACTGGGGCGAATTGGAGGAAATCGCTAAACTCAAGAAATCCCCAATCGGATGGGAGGTAAGATCGTCGATAATCCTAAGCTACTGGAATGGACGCTCACAAAAGGCAGCCTTTCTACAACGAAATTCTGGGTGCTGGAAACACAAAACTTGCTTCAGGATTCGTGCCAAAGTGCACCCACTTGCCACCTGCTGAGAGAATCGAGATGTGGGTGAAGTGCGGTATGATCGTGAAGGCCGGAGAAGAAGCACAAAAGACCAAGGACCTTAACACCCTGGAAATCCTCCGCACTAAAGCATCTGGCCCCGCAGTCACAGAAATCGAGCGCATGATCAATCAACTAAGGCCAAGGAAATGAGCCCACCAACAATGTTTAACATATACCACACAGGCCCGCTCCAAAATTGGTCAGGTGATCTCGTCGGCTTCATCGACAGTTGTAGAGTCATCAATTGCGGGATTAGAGCCTTCGGTTGCGATTTGGAAGACGTTATTTGCGACAGTAATGGTGGTAGGTGCGGAATCTTCGGCCATCACCTCGTCATCTTCGTCATCCTCCTCGTCGTTATCTTGTTGAAGAGCGCTGAACGCCAAGGTTTTGCGATTTGTGTCTTCCCAATCAGCCTAGTTCAGTGTGAGCACCTGTACGCCAAAACGAGGCGGCCATCTATTTTCATACTCTTCGGGAGTTGACAGTCTTGCCGCGAGCCACACTTTTAGCCTTCTTGATTTCCAATTGATCCATCACGGCCTCGGCTCGATCCATTCCCTTTTGTTGCCTTAATCGCTGCGCCCTTGAAAGCTTGTCGTTCTTCTTCTGCTTTTTCTGGATCCCGGAAGTGGCGCGGTCAGCCAGAACTGAAGGCCTTGTTGTGGTAGGAGATTCCGCTCGGGGTAGCGAAGTCACCGACTTGTCAAGGTCGAGACTCGGGGACGCTGCCCTCCGTGCTGCACGGGAACGCTGGGACTGGTCTGTTCAAGTATTAGATACTCAAATATCAATGTATGTAAAATTTGTAGTCAACCTACTTTTGCTCTTCGCCATGGTTGTTATTTTGAAGATTCGTCAATCTCGTGGGGTGAAATCGCTATCGATAAAAAAAAATTTACGGCGGACCACGATGACCAAAGGTGCACCATTTCCGGGCAAACATGTATACCTTCATGTTTTGCTCGACACGCGCTTTGACATTCCCACACTTTCTATCAATCCATGCTACTGCTCATGCTGGAAGATTTCTGTTGCCACATAATTTTGTCCGGGTTTTATTGAAAATGAACACCCGCGACGGGCGCTCCGCGATCTTTTCCAACCGCCCCGATCAACACGCAAGTCACAACAGTCATTATGAAACCGCCCTCACAACTTTACAAAACAACCAAGCGCTAGTGTACTTCTTTGTTGCGCTCATCTCGATTCCAATCTTTCTTGGATACCTCGGACTTGTTCCCATATCGCTATTCCAGCTCCCCTGGGAACTCTTTGTCTATTTTACACCCTCTCGAATTGTAGTCACTTTGGATCCTCGAACATCTACCTCCGACCCTAACTCCCTAGCCTCGTTGCCTTTGTCCTCCCAGGATAAAAGTGACGCGATGAAACGGATTCTTGGCTTAGACAACAACCCCTTCTTCTCCCGGTCAAGATCACTCTCCATCTTCGGAAATGCGCTGCTAGGAAACACCAAAGGAGTCACACCCCCAGGGCTCGGAAACTGGAATAACTCATGTTTTCAGAACAGCATAATACAGGGATTGGCTTCTTTAAAATATCTTTCTGAGTTTCTGGGACACAACGTGGACAATCTCTCGGGTAAGGCTTCCGTCTCGACGCACAGGGCACTACTAGACCTCATCGACCGTCTGAATAGCGCCCCCAAAAGTGGAACCAAGCTGTGGATCTCTGGGCCGCTCAAGTCCATGAGTAGCTGGCAACAGCAAGATGCGCAAGAGTATTTTTCCAAGTTGCTCAATCAAATTGACCACGAGGCCGAGCTATGCTCACGTGGAGAGACTTTGAACATGGGATTGAAAATTGCAGGACCCGATGAAAACATTTTTCGAGACAGTGACTGTGACGACCCGGTGACACCCGGTGAACCCGAATCGCTTCCATCGACAGATAAGCTTTATCTTGATAGGGTTTCATCTTGTAATCCTCTTGAAGGTCTACTTGCTCAACGGGTTGGGTGCATGGAATGCGGATGGAGCGAGGGGCTTTCGTTGATACCTTTCAATTGCCTCACAGTTCCTCTGGGCAAAAGATCTTCGTATGATGTTCGCGAATGTTTGGACCATTACATGACCCTTGAGCCTATTGAAGGCGTGGAATGCTCGAAGTGCACGCTGTTGCATCGACAGGAGCAGCTTGTCAATTTGATCAAGGGATTCGAAGCCGATGATAGTCGGTCAGACAGCTCCGACGAACCTCAACCATTTGATGCTGTGAAACTGTCAGCCTACTCGCGGTTAGAGGCTGTCAAGACAGCTTTGGATGGCAATGATTTCAGCGAAAATACCTTGGCAAGTAAGTGCCATATCAATTCAAAGAACCGAATCTCAACCACAAAATCTCGACAAGCTGTCATAGCGCGGGCTCCCCGCTGTCTTGCCATCCACATCAACCGCAGTGTTTTCGACGAGTACACTGGGACGTTGGAGAAGAATCTCGCAGCAGTCTCCTTTCCTCAAATGATCGATTTGAACAATTGGTGTCTTGGCACCCAAGCTCCCAACGAATCTGGCGACAATTCCGAGCATTGGGAAACAAACCCCTCGCGGTCCATGCTTCCGCAACCTGGGGAATTAATTCATGTCCCTAGCAGACAATATCAATTACGCGCAATCATCACCCATTACGGTCGACATGAGAATGGGCACTATATTTGCTATCGTAAGTATCCGACATCGGAATTCACAGCCCCTGCACCGGACGAAATCCTTCAAGCTGAGGGTGATGAGGACAAGCCCGAACGTTGGTGGCGCCTCAGCGACGATGACGTGCAGATGGTTAGTGAGGGCCATGTGATGGCCCAAGGAGGTGCTTTTATGCTGTTCTACGAAGCTATGGATGATTCCTTCTCGCCGTGCTCGACTCGATCTGCAACTCCAGAAAATGACTTACACGACAGATGCGCAGAGTCTATTCGGGTTGGAAGTGAAGACTCATGCAACCTAGCTATGCCAAATACCATTTCAGCTCCATCCACTGTCACCGACTTCGAATCTACCACCTCCCGTGAAACCAGCATCTCGTTGCCGATGGATGACTTCCTTCCTGTCGACCAGCCTTTGAAGATCTCAACCGTGATTGACACTGATGCTGAACGGAATGATAAACTTGACTCACTCTCTACTATCATTGCATGATCACCTCTGCATCATATGTTTTCTTACTCTTTTTTTTTCTTTTGTCTTTGCCCGCATAGCCGTGCCCTGTGACCGGCTACTGCATCATCATGATACCCGATACCACGTTCCATCTGAGGCGTTGATTTGAGCTCCACTGTGTTTGGGGAGTATTTTGTGTAAATTATTGTACCACTATGAGAATTGTGATGCGAGAGATGACTTGTTACATTCCCGTTTCGATTGGCTTCGGCCTGACTTACATGTAATTCCGTAGGTGCGTTCATCGCAATTCAGTCACCGTCAATCTCTTAGGTGAATAGTGACAGCGCGCGTTGAAGATGCAGCTTCTGGAGATAGGATCCCCGCATTTAGACATGAGCACCTTGTGAAAGGCGACACAGCACGGGTGGTGGTCCGGCATCACCTCATCAAGTACCTTGGGGCCACCACAGCACAAAACTACATCAAGACCCTCTTTCTCGCAAAATTACATTTGAACCCTCTTTATCCATTCCGTGAGCTCTACTGGCAAGCAATTGTAACTCCAACAGAAGTAACTTCTCAGATTGACGTTGGATATCGTTGGGAGTTGCACCCGAGTCGGTATAGATCCCGAAGGTCCCCGGGGTCCTCATTTCGTATCTGATCGTCATAGGGTAGGATATTGTCTCCCATACTTGGCACAGTTGATGGTTCCTAATCTACTTCAGCAGTATTCGATTTTAAAGGTCTTCAATAATGTCTATCAGCAAATCCTCACGACCACATGATATCTTCCTCATCAATGAGCTACTGGAGAACGTTCTTCTCCATACAGACATGAGAACTCTATTAACCTCTGCTCAACGCGTATCTCGTGTCTGGAACACCATGATACGAACATCAGTTCAACTCCAAGAGTCCCTCTTCTTCAAACCCTCCAAATTCGAGATCTCGGATCCCTCACAGCGTCTTCGCAATCCGCTCCTAGAAGATATTCTCTGGGCTCAATTCTTCCTCAAACAACAACGAACCTCAGAGTCAAAAAAGACCGAAGTAAGCAGATTTCCGCTCGGGGAACCTGAGCGTCGCAAGCTTAAGAATTACCTGCGAAAAGACGCCAGTTGGAAACGAATGTTACTTCAACAACCACCGACAGCATCAATCGGAGTCATTGAAATCATCAAAAAATCAGATTCTGAATTCACCAAGTTATCCGTCAGCCCCAATCAATTCCTGCGGATGGGTCATCTCTTGACCCTCCTCGAACGGGGAAGCACCCTCGTTCCAACCCGCAACAAATGGATCCTGTGGAGCGGGCGATCCCGTGTAATGCCCTTGAACTTCGAATGCTGGACGCCCAAGTGGGTCTATGAACCAAGTACCCTACGGCCAGTCCAGGAATGGATCCCAGAAAATATCGATTGGGATAGTCTCCGGCTAGAGGTGGGATCGATGTATTTAAATGATTTTGATTGCGGCGTGGTGATTGTATCTGAACGGAGACAGATGCTTTTCCAGGGCGCGGATCGAGTTCATAGGGAGAGCAAACTCGATCGTCGACTGCAGAAAGCGTTTGGGGAATGTCGGGTGGAGGTTGGACGGAAGCATATCAATCACTCTTGGATTCCCATCAAAGGGGTTGGTGCTGATCGGCGATGGATCCTTAGGCCTTGTTCTGCTACTCCTCTTGTTCCAATGTTGAGTGACGCATCCGAGGCTTCAGATTCGTCTTCCGTGTCTTCGGGTTCGTTGTCTCTCTAGGAGGAAGGGGGGGGGGGGGGGGTTATAGTGGAAGGCTCTGCCCGAACAGGCGTGTAGTTCAACTCTTTCAGAGAGATTTTGAATAAAAAAAACCTCCCACTGTTGCCTTTGCTTATCAGAAAGATGTCAAAACAGTCAAATCTCTATTAGACGCACTCAGGATCCTCTCTAGTCCGTCCGATCGATGAGCTTGATTCTTTTAGTCGCGACTGCTGTGGTCCCGTATACGGAAAGGGAGTCGTTGTCTTTAGGGTCCTTAGGATTGGACTAAGGCTCAATTTGCACAGCACTTCACCAAGTCAGCGTCAACTTCTTGAGACTTCTTCGGGTTCAGGGCTCATTTATAACTCCATTACGGGTTCCAGTGTGAGAAGTGAGTCCCCTACTATTTCGCAACGAATTTTATGGCTCTGTGGAGTAATCAGATGTAGTAAAAGGGTTCAAGAATGATACTTGTGTGAGGAATTCGAAGCTAGAAACAGTTTAGTTTTTTAATCAGATTCTAGGGTTTAATAGAGAACAGGGACTATCAAAGCCTCAACAGACCAGCTCTGTATGGCAAAATATCCCGCTGGATTCACGCCCCAGATCACAACACAGTGTACAAGGGGAGGATCCGAGACAACGACGTCAAAGCAAACAATATCGCAAATCCCAATAGCAGTCCCAACCTCGTCAACCCCTCGCAAATTTCAGGTGCATATCGAAAGAGCCAAATAGGAAGGAAACACAATTCACCGCCAGTCTATCCTGTGCATCGGGGATAAGGCAACGAACCCATGTCACTTTAGCACAACTAGGATCGTCACGGGATAACACTATCAACGACCCTGTTCGGATATGGTCCATCCTCGGTCGGGCAGACGATGTTGCCAGCCTGTACGACCAGGATATTACTTTTGGCGGTCAAGATTCACCGTAGCATCTAGACGCGAGCGCGGATGTACCCAGCGCAGATTGAAACGATACGCCCGAAGCATTCATGCTCGGCATCGTACAGGAACAACGGCTCGATCGGACAAAGAGATTGCTGGTTACGCCCAAGTAGGCAAGTCAAAGAATTATAGTAAAGACGTGTCTACAATGCTAACGCGGGTTCACGGCCTACCGCAGGTTCTTCGGCTTGGGACATAAGCCGTGGTGCATTGTGGTGTGTCGAAACGTTCTGGAAAAAAAAACAGATTTTGAACTGGAGGTAGAATGATCTCTGTTCAATGGAGATAACTCTTCCCCCGCCTGACTTGTTTCTTTGTCTTTCCTAAATCGTGTCCGGGAAGGCGACCGTGGTGACCGCATCGTACCCCGGTCTCAAATATCGGTCAAGGCAAATGTTGGTCTATAGGTTGTGAGTAGGTCTCAGGTTCTGAAGATGATTTTTAATTGGAGTCAGCAGAAAAGATAATAGCTACAGGTTGTATCCAATGGCGATGGTTGCTGTAGCGGTCTCAAGAGATGGGCTGTCTGATCTCGCAACCATCACACTGTTGGCGTCGGTCTAGATGATGGGCCTGCGATTGTGCTATCCGTGCGGTTCTAATCCCTGTGAGCCCAGTCCCTGTGATGAATAAGGGGACGTTGCTTGCTCTGGGATATGTTCGAAATCTGATCCAAATCGACAGTCACGCCCTATGGACACGTCTCGGGTACACCGTCAACCCGCCACTGTCATCACACCTTTGTTGATCAATGCAGCCGAGACTGCGGACGGTGTCCCGGAAGGACCTTGGGTTACTCACACGGTTCAAGGAAAAAGGACCGTGTCCATAGCGACGAAATGTGCCATCTCACATTCTTCAAATCCTCCGGCGAAATGTGGGTCGGATCCCCATGGGGTGGATATCTTTTCCATTCACCAAAAAAAAAAGGATCTTCATCTCAAGTGCCGACAACCCTGGATGGGTTGCATCCCTCGAGAATTCGTGCAGAATGTGGCAAACTCAACTAAAGTCGAAGGACTGAATCGGTGAATCAAGTCGGATCTCGATTCTGTCACGTTGCGTTTACTCCTCTGTTTACAGAAGTTCGACCTCGGAGTTGATATACGAAATACGAATTACGGAGTGAAACGGATTAAAATTGGTCCCTTCTACTCTGTAGACAGTGTGGATTCAATTGTCAACCACTCTTCCTTGGTGCTATTTATGTATGTAAAAAGCAGACCCGATCCGTGCCCTTGCAAGAGATCTTGCAGATGAACTGCATGTGAAGTGCATACGAGGCGCGTCGTCTTAACTGCAGGGAAACCCGGGGCTGGAAGGGGCTATGGGTCTGAGCTCCAATATTGGATTTTGGTTTTCAAAGGGGGCTAGAACAGGCATCTTTCCACCTGCGAACTAACCTCCCTTCAACCTTTGCATTTACTTTCGTACTCCGGATGTGGATTTCGTCTACAAGGACCGATCCACAAAGATGTGCATGCAAACCTACGTATCCTTCAGTCGTTGAGCTCAATCTCACACGGCGAAACAACCCCCAGTAGCCAAGGCAGAACCGATTTACTGAGCCCGAGCTTTCACTGAAACAGGGCTTTTGTGCCCAATAGACCGAGCATTCTCCGGGAGATTAACGTGCTTTTAAGTCAAATTAACACAGTAGCTTTAACACACTAGTCTTCCAGCGCCGAATAATCGATCTCCACCATGAAACCCAGGAGACAGGTAACAGGTCCTGCATTGAAAATCTGTGGAAGCACCGAGAACCTGGAAAGGGGGCAATGGTTTGAACACAATGTGCTTGATCGTGAACCGCGGTCCGCCCCTCATCCAACACGCTTCTTACATGCCGCGTGAACTACGGAGCATGTATGTTCAATATGGTTTCATTTGCGAGTGGAGTACGGAGTACTCAGTTCAACGGCGTACCACGAAGCTGTCATTTCGATCTGAATTAGATTTCCTGGGCCATTCGTTTGGCCCCCCACCGCTTGACCCCTTTCCAAAAAAAAATTTCCAAGGTTCCCCGGCGGGCCGGGACACGGAAGCATGAATTACGGAGGGAGAGGACGCAGGCGGCGTGGGGGGTATTTGCATATCACAGTCCAATGGTGGTACTATGAGATATATAGATTTGCCAAAGTACTCTTGTCTGTCGTTAGTAAGCTTCAAAGAGGTAAAGAGTACGAAGTATGGAATACAACATACAACATATACATCTGACGCCCCCTTGGATATGATGAGTATGATACGGAACATCGGACGAACATCCGAACGGGGGGGGGGAGGAGGGGGGAGTGGAAATTGGTCGATGGGACACCCAGGATCACGGATTGATCCACTTGGACCGGGGAAGAGCGTCACAGTCTTCCCCGTAGGCGCTAGTCTTGCATTAGGCAAGTCATCTGGTGCATCCGAAAGATCACAACGACGTGACAATTGACAGATTGAACAGGAGTATGAAATTCCGGGGGAACAGATCTTGATAAGCAGTTGATAGATGATGTGAGTCTAGACTTGGACGATCTAGACTCGACACTTTTTTGAACAAAGAGCCAGAGCCTCGGTGCAACTGTGGGGTGGCCTATGATTTGTGCGAAAATTAGACTCGGGATATGGAATCGAATAGATTCTCTAGAACTCTAAGGAGCACTTCGTGCGGTGTGTACAACATTGAATGGTAACTGGTGGTAAATTAAAAAAAAAAAAAAAAAATAGCCGAACTGTATTTATCCGCTTCAAAGCTGGGCAAACAGGAGAAGTGCCAAGGGAGTAGTAGCCGTTAGTTTCATTTTGGCGGTTCCTTTTTTTTTTTTAGACTGTAGACTAATTGCTTCTAGACTTGAAATCGAATCCACGGAGGACTTGGCCCGAATGTGGAGACACACTTCCTTCTACCCAACTCCGTTGTTTAAAAGACTGTGGATAGTCCATTTTCCCGTGGGCAGATTTCTCTTCAACTGACCACAATTACTTTCGACCTACAACGGTGTTGACGTGTTGGATCGTGACCGCCAAACGCCCAACAAACCTGATTCCTCAAACCGGTGATTAGGGCTGCAAATTCCTATAACCCTGCAGCTCCCGCAACTTTTTCCAGCACGAAGCGGTGAATCCGAGGCATGATCATTGGAGAATTATCATCGGGACTGGGAAACACTCCAAACAATCCGATTTTAAGATCAGACCAGATCTTGAGCTTTCTAAGATTGTTGGGCAGCCCTTTCGGGGAAACCTCGATCTCCTGCCGCAAGGGGGAATTGTGGAAATTCGGTTTTTTTGCTGATATCAGATTTGCTCTTGTATTCATACAAATCTCTGTGTCAGACTTGTCCGAGTCGGAGGCAGGATAAAAGCGCTAAACCGGGGATCCGTTCTGTCCCCGTGTGTCAGAAATCCAGGGATTCGATACATCTGGAAATTGTCACATCAAAATACAAATAAATTCCCAAAAGGGGAATTTATTTTTATATTTTTATTTTTTGGGCTTAGGATCAGTTGTTCCAAGGTTGGAAGGTTGATCGACAGCCCTTGGTTTGCGGAAATCTCCTTCCGATTGTTCTGATTTCTTTTCTTTTCTTTTTCTTTTTTTTTTCACTCGTTTATCTTTTTTTTCATTATTTTTTTTCCTAATTTGGAACTCTCATCCCATTGTTTTTTTTGGTTTTTTTTTTCATTTTGGCAATTTGATTTCTCGACTGCAAGGGTATCGGGAAGTCTAAGAAGTCTTTCCCCGGCTTTGGGTTTTGATATCTATTACCCTTCTCACCGATCATTGATAAACAACCCCCCTCGACCTTTCCGCAAAATTTTCACTTTGCCTTGCACCATCACACTGTTGTCTCTCTCACCCACTGGGCCCTGGTACCGCCAACCCTTTTCCAATATTTACCTATCACATCCGCCACCATGATTCCCATTCAGTCACGTCTACTTGAGATGTCGCTCCCCAAGGCAGCGGCTCCTATCGCAAGCACAGATCCAGCGCAACCCACCTTTACCTGGACTGGCAGCGCCTCTTCGTCCATGTCAAGTCCTTTCGCTCCTCCACCAACTCCCAGCGACTCCCTTCTCGATATCAGCCCACGCAAGTCCTCTTCCTCTAGCGAGATGGGAGCGGCATATGCCTTCCCCTCCTGGCCCAACCGTCCCTCGCTTTCCAGCAACAACTCCACCGATTCATGTGCCAGCGCCTTTCTCTCCGACGACGACCTCCTATGGATGCCAGAGAATTCGGCAGCTGAGCAGGCAGTGGACGAAGTCATTAACCAGGACGCCGCTACCATCTGCTCCGTAACCATGGAGCAGCAACTTCAGCGCTTGCGCGCCATCGCCGAGCAAGAAGATCGGGCCAACTTCCTCGCTAAGGTTGAAGCCCACGCCCGTGCAACCCAAGCCCTCCGTACAGCAAAGCAGGGCATTGTGGTAGAGCGCGAGATGTCAAAGCGCAAGAAGCGCCGCGTCGCGCCCACTCCGAAACGACGTGCTCACTCGGCATCCAAGGTGCTCAGTCAATAAGCTCACCGGTGATTCCCGGTGCAGCGCAGGCGCTCTTCGAATAACGCCACATTCTCTTCACAGTCATGTCATTACCTCGCCTTATCTTTTAATTTCACCCCGCATCCCTCCGAGGGTTGCAGAGACCCACACCAAGCGGTGCCTACTTCCAATTCATTTTTCTCCTACAACCGTGATACCCGCGAAATCGCCTCATTCCAACTTACGAATCACATTGGGATCCCAATCTCCCAAGCACAGCATGCCACGGTCGATCGTCAGCCACATCTAAGCTTTACCGGGTGGTATTTTCTGAATGCGACCTTACCTAGGCCCTGCACGGGCCGACTTCGGGACCCATCTGGTCATCCATGGGTCCATTGTCCCCCCCGCGCTTACCTAATTTCTCGCTGTCGGCGCTTCCAGAAATCCCACCTGGGCACTTCCAAGGTTGTCACCTCTTGCCACTTCCATCTTGCCCTTTGCACACACCGCTGGTTTATTTGGCTTTCTGACTCATTTTCCAACTCTCTCATTTGTGTTCTGTTTTTCCTTCCTTTTTTTTCCTTTTCAGCGAATCCGTTATCTCCCCCAACCCACGAGGATCATGTTTTCGCATGGAGTTGCAGCGCCTGATTCAGACATCATTTACCTTTTTTTTGCCTACCCTCAGGCTTGCATCCATGGAGACCCGGTGTTTCTTTCTTCTTTTCTTTTGATTGCTCTCGGGTTGTTTTTTTTTTTTTATGAACCTGTCTTTCCCAGCGCTTTGTTCAGATACCCCGCCTTGTATACCCCATCATTTGTTTTTCGTTATCGGCGTTTTGTGATCTTTTGCAATTTTCAACCGCGTTCCAGACCTCTGTGATCTACTCTCGGAAGATTGCCATATGCACCATATCACAGTTGTCAGTAGCCGTTCTTAGTACATTAGGTAGCCTGAACTAAGCCCATTGACCATATCTTGAAACAAGAGTATCATTCCGAATCACCACATAAACCTAGCAGCCTAAAATAAGCCAAAGTAGCAATCTGATCCAACATCCCTTAATCCAACTACACATCAAATTTCCTCTCTCTACCCCAGCCAAGTCCTTGCCACGTTGATGTAGATGTAACCTATCGCCCGAAAATCGTACACCCTTGACACAGAACAATCCAATAGCCGATCGCCAGTCCTGCCCGCCTCGTGTCCCCCCGCTTGAGTAACCGCCTCACCTCGGTCAGCGTCGAGCCCGGAACCCCGAGCTGTGAGGCTTTAACAGCTTATTGCTGCCTATGTATACCATGATGCCCCACTGGCCATCGTCATTGCTAAACTAACAGTGCAACAGTGAGATTGTGGCGGCTTTGTCAATCGGCGACGGGGCCAAATGATTGATAATCATGGACTTTGTGTACCTGTACATTAATGTTTAATTAGAGCGCAGAATACCACTCAGTTACGGTTGGGGTTGGGGTTCGGTTGTTTTCGTCCAATTTAGGGCCCTCCCAACATTACCCGACTTCACCGTTCCGATCATGCTGACTTCCACCCTCACCCTCTGGCACCCTCACCCTCTGGACGGGATTAGTCGGCTGCGGTTAAATAAGAAATGTACATCCGGAGTTGGCACTTAGCCTGGAAGTCTAAATGGCACTGGTTGATAGCTTGGATTTTACCGCTCCTGGTCTCTAATCTATCACAAGGAGAAGTTCCGTACAAGTCCGGTGTTGTGGGATTTTCGAGAAAGCCGGGTTGCCCGCAGTAGCCGCCTCGCTATTAACATTGCTATCCGCTGTTGCCATCGTTCTTGGTTCATTTCTTCTGCCTTTAATGCTATTTGTCGTGGAGGTGTTACGCCACTCCATAGGGTAAAGATTCGATGTCAAGTAGGCTGGGCACCCCATTTTATGAGGTTGGTCGGGCATACGATTCTACTCTGCTGTTCTGGTTTACCAACTCCAAATTATCTCGGCAGATTATAATTGAAATCACACATCAATTACCAGATGATAGCGCGCCTAGATAGTAGTTAGAACCTAACGCTGTTACTATCTAATTCTTTAAAGCTTCTACCATCAAAGATTATCACTCACTAGACTAGTTATAATATTCGCACTAACTTATCGAGCCCACTTTCTTCGCGGTTAGCTAAGAAAATCCTTAAACTCAGGAGTTATTATCGATTTTATAGCTTATACGTTACGCTCCTAGATAGATAGCTAGGTAGACCCTAAAGAAAGGGTTCTAAAAAAAGGCCCGCGCCGGAAGCGAGCGGTTATAGAGCGAGAGGCAATTCGAATGGATTGGATACGCTGACTTCGTCCCAAGCCCTATAGACGTTATAAGGTCGGATAAAGATAGGACAAAGACCTAGGGGGTGGCGTGTCGCAATCTCTAATTCTTTAATATATCGTTAAACAGACGAAAGTAAATTGTAAGAAAATGATAGTGAGAATGCAGTGCGTGATAAGTTAGCCCGTAAGCATAGAATCTATGTAGGGATTACTCAACTATGTTGTAAGAATCTTATCGATTGGTCTATGCAAAATTGCCAGTATATGAGAGGATGTTTTTCTATGTTTTTGGATTTCCGTGTATACAACTACATATCTAAGCATCTACTGCACGATACAGTACGTCCCGAAACTGGTGCAACCGCCTACACTAATTATTGATTATTAAGCCCTACTGCCAAGAAACACTAGTCGATGTTGGGAGTTATTCCGACAGTTGGATGGGTATTTCCTCGTACGTAGGGCACATAGTAATTTCAAGCATGTATTACCTTGTAAATTCATTACATGCGACATCTCCATGCCCCTCATCCGAAGTAGCTTTCCTCGGGAGGCGCACTTGACAATCTAGCACGAGTGGTCCAACTAAAGATGGCTCCATGAGCTTATCTATGATATGATCCACAGTGGCGAACTATCTATAACTAAGATGGTATAGGCCGCTGGTTGTAACAAGAGTACCATCTCGCGAATCTCTTCCAATTTAAAGAATGCTTAGAAGTGTCAAAGCACCGCCAATTAAAGGCCGACGACCCCGTAGTGAGGAAGAAAGTCATAAAGGTATCGGGCGATGTAACGTGCTCGAGAGTAGCCTAGATAAGTGCCGCAGGCCGATAGCCCTTCCGAATGTTCTTCTCGGAGCTATAATGCCGTACAAGCGTGATCACCAGGTTCCTTACCAACTCATGCTGTTTAAGTGTTAATGACAATGGTATTGAGAAGTCCAAAAAACCTTCTAGGGAGGACTGGTGACGGTGAGTCGCTATCGTTAGGAACTCGCAAGCCTTGGGGTGAGGGCGAGCAAGATGGTGGAGGCATGTGATGAGCTGACTCATGTGGGTGTAGGCAATCCGTTTCAGCTCACCACTTCATTATTTCGGTAGAACCGTTCTGGTAATGATACTTGAGTCACTGCTAGAGTACTGCAATACTGCAGAGCCATATGGAATCGCTTTTGCAGATCTGGCTCGCCATCTTAACTATTGGAAGTCATGTGACTTCCCTGTTTGCTCCCGGACCCGGTACCTTAGTCTATCTAGCTAGTGCCTGTAGATAGTTTCTCTCTCTCTCTCTCTCTCCACGCATGACAAAGATTTCAAGTTTCATATACAACTTCATAGCATATCATCTAGATACCTTCTCTCACTTCCTTTGAGGATGCAAGTGAGGAGGAACGATTGCGACGGGGCCAGCTTGCGTATGATCTGACCCTACCTTAAATGGAACATAGTGGGAGTTGCACTCGACCACCGCTACGACACGTCTCCAGTCAATCGCTTACAATTAACCAAGTGCACCTGATGGTGGCACACAGATTTGACCTTCATGAAACACCTGGTTGCTCGGACAAAGTATGCAGCGGAGATTACCATCATCAGAACCGATCAATCCATATCTTGGTAGGGTTCTCAAAGCAATAGCCCTACATTGCTCATTGGAATAATCCGGGGTGTCTAAGTGCCCTTGCACCTGGATTACCCCGATTGGTATGAAGGTGCGCCTTCGATCTTGTCAATATTCATGGGTGCGTTTTTTGTAGTATCGTGACTTCAGGCAGATATTTTAGTCCTCCTAGTGCTTGAAGCAAATCACTCCTAGGTGCCCAAGTTGACTAAGTGTGGGCTGTTTTTTGTACTGGTCCTGCCATGAGGTTGCCACTGGATTCATGCCGTCTATCACATGTGTCATTGGTATATCTCTCTATGTTTGCATCTTAGGCCGTCGTATAGCGTTCTGTGTTCATTCATCCAAGGTGACCGGTATAATTTTCCCCCAGATCTCCAAGTTCTGTACAGGGTAGTCGATTATAATCCATGTGCCAAATGTATTCACAAATGGCCGAAGTTTCTTGGTCATCATCGCACCTGGTTGATGATCTCACCGACACACCACTTCTCAACCGTGCTCTTCAGCAAAGTCTGCAGGTTTTGCAACGTCCTTTCAGAATACCAGGTTAGGTGAGGTGTCAGTACCAAATTCAACCCGGCTGCTTCTGGGCTTAACAATGGGGAATCGCCTCTCCCAGCAGGTTCTGTAGTGTAAACATCTGTGGCCGCACCTGAAATCACCCCACATTTGAGTGCTTCGAGCAGTGCTTGCTCATCGACAATTCCATCTCTTGCAACATTCACCAACACAGCACGGGGGGACATAATTTTGCAACTCCGCTGTAGAGATCATGTTGAGCGTCTCCACGCTTCGGGGTAAGCACAAAACAACCACAATCGACTTTTTTAAGCCATCTTCGAACATAACTCGGCCCGCTCGAGGAGATACACCCTTACGCTCTGCGACAATCACGTTCATACCAAGGCCCTTTGCCAGGGCCTCGATTCGTTTGCCTAGTGATCCGTATCCAACAATACACATGGTTTCATCACTGCACAACAACAGAGCCTTTCCATCAGGTGCACGAACTCGACTGAGTAATGAGCCGTTTGTCTTTCACTCAGTATCAAGCGATAAGTCCACATGAACTGCAACTGTGGCATTATGGAGCTCAATGAACTTCCGTCGAGTGGCGAAGGAAAGCCCAATGGCGTGTTCACTGACACTGTCAATGTTCGAGCCGGGACAGTTGCACACGGTGATTCCTCGTGCGGACGCAGCTGCTACATCAACGCAGTCTGTGCCAGTCGCCATGATTGCTATGAGGCGGAGCTTGGGGGTGACTTCGGCGCTGAGTGTCTCCGCCGTTAGGCGCGTCGTCGTTGTCGCGATGATTGTAGCATCTTTGACGCGGCTGGGCAGATCAACAGGATCGGTCCATCGGTGGACTGCGCGAGTATGTGGGCCTGGCAGATCAAATTCAGGGATTGGGCAATGGACAGCCTCAACGGCAACGATATGGTGGGTTAGATTCTCTGCCATGATCATGGATAAGGGGAGACAGAGCATGTGCTGTTGGCGTTCAAGATCTTCAACTGGTTTCCCCGCCGTAGATCTCTTGAGGGCTACGTCCAGTGTGTGATGACTGATACCGAGAGTAGCCGAGATGGGTCTCAGGACAATACCGAGATGTTGTCGGTGAAGGGGTCGAATGATCTTATCCGGGAAGATTCCTCCAAGCTTGTGCTCTTGAATTTGAAAAGCTGACTTGCGCCCTGTCCAATACAGCAATGAGCATGTGTCGGAGTTGAACTATTGCTCCCCGCATGACGTTGTATGCAGCTTAGACTGGACCGATGATAGCCGACATCAACTCTTCTGCTTGGCAATCACAACTGCAGCCCTAATCCTTCAAAGCAATTCTTATTAAAACTATTCTGGCAAGCTTTTCTTTTGTAAGATAATTGCCATCATCTCGGGACGAAAAGACACCATGTGGTATGAAAGTCCAGAATGATGCCAAACTGGTACGCGCCAATTCTTCTCTACTCACCCTTAACGTGCTCAAATCACAGAGGCATAGTTCCATTTGTCGGATTAAAGCGGGTGAACAAATGGCAACTAATCGACTTAATCAGGTTCAAAAGCAACCCTGTGGCCATTGTGAAGCTCAGCGATGTCAATTTGTCACAAGAACAAAAACAGCTAATCGCCAAGGACCCCAACTTCTTCGACACAGTGTTCTTATATCTCGTCGCAGGGGATAGGAACCACCATGTAGACATCTTCTCACGTGCCAACGAGATGTAGTTTGTTGGCAATCCCATCATTAGCGCTGACCACTTTCTCTTCCGCTAGGTATTGGCCGATGCTCCCAATCGCTCAAACACCCTCACTGTAATTACCAAAGCAGGACCGGTTCCGATATCATGGATGATACAGCCAAGGAGGTTGTCTCTGCTGAGATTCCACACAAGATTCAAATACACTGGTCGGATGCGACAGCCAGCCATACCCTGTCTGTTCAAGCAAGTCTGAGTTCGGGTTCGGATCTGCAGGGCTTTGCAGATATGTCACCAGTAGCATCTGTAGTCGACACTGTCACACATGCCCTGATATATCTGACTGAAAGAAAAAGCTTCATCGCCAGTGTGGTGCCCGGTGGAAATCCAGAGCTTGATCTCGATGAGGGATGGTCATTGTCATTGACCGGGGCCACATATCACCAGCACCTTGTATCACGTACGGAGGGAGATTTGGTGCTTTGAGATCTTCGGGTGTGCATGAGCGTAATTAATCTAGAGGATCCTGTTAGTGGTAGGGGTGGATGTTCTTTTGGGGCTTACCTTGCACTATCGAATGGCCAGAAGGGTGGAGTCATCATATCTAGATTGATCAGGGAGGGGATATCTCTATCATTGTAGATATGCTCTTGGATGAGGACGGGAAGAGGATGTCCACTATCAAACTCGCTGCCCATGCTGCATTAGTAGCGGAAGGGAGTTTATTTGTTGATTAAACAGCACACAGGTTGCTAGAAAGAAAAATCAAAGATGTGGCTCAGTACTTTGTTGCCGATGTTTCGAGAAATTCGCGTTGATGTGTATTTCGATTAGACATTATGGACGCATTCAATATTTAAAGTCCCTTGCTAAAAAGTTCTCCTCCTATCTCTTTGAGCAGCGGCTCCTTCTGCACAGCCTCAACCTTTTTCTTTCGGGAAATCGTTTCCGCAACACCCATAGCGCGACAAAGATCAATTAGAGACCCATCCATCGGAGCTTCGTAAACAAGAAGGCCAAGAGCAAACAACAACCCACGCAAGGATTCCACGCTCTCATCCTCACGCGAGATAGCCTCAAGCAATGACGCGGTCAATTCTACCTGATCTTCCTCAGACAGAGGATCAGGCTTTCCGTCGAAACGAGCATTGTGATTGAACGAGGCAAGATTGTATGCAAAAGAGGCGGCGACAACGCGGAGGCTGGTTTGTGAGTCTAGGAGGGAGTTGGTCGCGAGACGCAGGCAGGTCTCGCGGAGTGGGGATGAGGAGGATATGAGTTGCTCCGGATATAGAGGTGTGCTAAAAAGATTGCAGGCTAGTTGGAGGGCCACGATGCGGAGATTGTATGGACATGAGGATAGATCGTCTTGGGATAGCGGTGCAAGGAGAGTTAGAAGGGTTGCATGTTGGGCTTCTTCGGCGAAGTAGCCACTTGCACGTGGGTCAAGCAGAAGCAGACGAACTAGATCAACCACAGCAAAATGACTGCCACTGGGAAGCGTCGAGTACGTGGAGGTCAATGTTGTAGCAAATGTATGCAAGTCGGGGACTCTGATATCGGCGACAGGTCCGGTGGTTGAGTGGCGCAGTTTCACAAATTCAATGACTTGTGCGACACCGTGGGCTTCCCTGAATGCGACAGGGAGTTTTTGGAGGAGTTTTTCGATTGGTGGAACCTTCTTATACATGACAAAGGTCGTAATCTCTCGCTGAAGACTAGGAAGTCGTAATTGACGATGGGGGTGGGCAGGGTGTGCCATCTCTAGTAACATACGAATATTTCCCACTAGTTTGGCCGGGGTCGCACCGCTCCATTCATCCATTTTTTGACCTTTCAAAAAGGTCATAAAGGTAGGGGTCGAGCGCACGCTGTACTTCATGCCAACATCGCGAGCTACGCCGATGTCGACTTTGATAAGAGTACCTCGCTCACCCGCTTCCGCCGCGAGTTGGTCATATGTTGGATAGACAGCCTTGCATGGTGGACATGTTGATGATGTGAAGAAAATGACAGCGCAGGAATGGGAAGCGCCAGACAACTCGCTTTGTAGCTGACTGAGATTGCTCACTATGCGGACTGTGCCCGCTCCTGGATGTGCCAATGGCTGGGGTGCGGAAGGGACAGCTTTCGCTGTGGTCGGTTGAGCACATGGCCCAGGAGCAGGACCCGTTCCAGTGCCTTGAGTGACGCCTTTGAGAGCCATCTCGATTTGAGGTTTCATCATTTGCCCAAATGGGGTTTCCAAAAAAGTGCGAGGCAGATTGATAATGTGGTCCGGGATACTTTTACCTACAAGAAACATTGAAAAGTCTTGAGTAAAATTATTGCAGTTGTGAAGGAAAAGGTCGTATGACTAAAATTGATTAGCCATAGCTCCGTTGCTGAAGTTGTTCATGAACAAACCTCAGGCGTATAAATGGTTGCCAATGAGCCCAGATACTCCTCAATAACGTCATTTGGAAGCTCCGTGGTGCCCAACTTCACGACCTCCATGGGCTGTCCATGATGGGTACTCCCTGGAGCAGCGGTCTGGATCCCCTGGCCGAAGTAGTATTCGACCCCGTTGAGAACAATAGATGTATGATATATGGCATCCATCTGTGTCCCTGTCAGGGTAAGGGAGTACTGTACAAATTAGAGAATGCTCGCTTTCAGTGGCACGTCGACCATACCATTCGGGCCAAACCCTATATTCAACATTAGTTGACATTTAACGCTTGCCGAACTGGAAAGCTTGCCTTAGAAAGGTCGTAGACATATAGTGAGACATCCATGATGAAACAGGTATCTGATATAGAAGAGAGCCCTTCGAAGTGAAAATTGAGATCAAAGAATCCTTGGAGTGCGACCTGGGTAGGCTCCAATCCGATAACGTCAGCACCGGCAAGATGCCTGCCATCACCTTCGATCGTGTTCTATTACACTTTGTATGGATTTGATATTTGGCACTTGATCTTTCTAATTCGTCAAAAGGAGTATAGAATTGTTCATTGACGCGATCTCATTTCTTGCTTTGCTACCTACAGGACTAGTCGCTGATCGTATACCCGTGAATGTTGACCTGCTTCAATCGTAGAATTTTCTATACTTAGTAGATTAGGAGTCCGATAAAAAAAGGAGTGCGCAATTTTCAAAAACGTTCAAGAAGCAGTTGTGCGCAAAATTGTGTATAACAAAGCTGTGAAGCTGAAGTGCTGCATCCGTAGATCGTTTTCCCAATCGCCACCATCCCCTTCATCACCTCCGGGGACAAGTCCTCATTTGTCCGTGCCAACATCCTTGTAAAGTCATAATTTCTGTCAGCGATACCCACATGGTAAGAAAAACCCGATATCCTCAATACCCAACCAAATCTGACTCCCTTGCAGCCTCCCAAAAAGCGCGGAGGCACAGCTAGCTCTTCCGCACCGGCAGCGCCAAAGCGCGGGCGCGCATCCAAACTCGCCAAGGAGAACAACATCACGGCTGAAGAAGAAAACGAAATCAAAGAAGTCTTCCACCTATTCTCCGCCAAGAATACAGACTTCCCAGACGAGAAGGAGGGAGTCATTCCTCGCGAAGATGTGCGCAAGGCACTGGTGTAGGATTTCCCTTAACCTCTACGACAATCGACACTACCTGCTACTCTGCCCCTTTCCTTAATTACTTACCCTCAATCTATGAATATAACGCACTAACAAGTTTCCCTTCAACAGTGCCCTCGGCCTCCCACCCACCGATTCAACCGAACTCGCAGAAATCCTTTCCGCCCTCGATCCAACTCTAAGCGGATACGTGCCCTACAGTCCCTTTATCTCAATAGCAGCGGCCAAATTGCGGTCGCGCGATGATGACGCCATTGCTGCTGAGGTGGACGATGCGTATCAGCTATTTACGCGCGGCACGGATGGCCCCATCACACTGTCGCATCTGCGGCGCATTGCGCGCGACTTGAAGGAGGATAGTGTGGGTGATGACCTGCTCAAGGATATGATTCTTGAAGGGAATGGGGGTGCTGGGTTGAGCGCTGGAGTTACTTTGGAGCAGTTCCATGATGTCATGACCAGAGCTGGTGTGTTTTAAAGGTGGTGGATCTGTGTAGATCTATGATGGAACAGCATTTCTAATTTTGATGGATATAAGGGTCGGATTCGGCGTTTGGCATGGCAGTTTTATTTTAGCAGGGAGTCTGAGGTTTGGAACTTTTGAAGGGATTCCAAGCTTGTTCAAAAATCGACTATCATTTGTAATGTTCCATTGTGAGTGTAGATACATGCTTTCCCCCACCGGCTTCTGCGAAAGACA